GCTGCAGTTTAGTGCACTAGACAGTAAGGTCGGGTTGATTGGCAAAGTCGGCAGTTCAAGCTCACCAGCTGCTCCTCAATATCCTATATAGGATCACTATGAGTCAGAACTGGCTCGAAGGCACTTAACAACAACAACCTTCATACTAATTTTATAGGAAATCTGTCAACATATCCTTTTTAAAATAGAAGATATCTCTTGGATAAGATCAAATTCAGCCAGATTGAATTTTTATTTGCTTTGACATAAAGTGGAATCAGTGAAGTACAATATTTTTATTTTTGTTTTTTAATCTTTTTATAGTAAAGGGTACAAAAAATCACTTTGATAAACTTGCTTGACTTCCCAAAGGTATTCAGTGTGTGTTTTTCTCTTTGGAAATGGTAATAAGGTGTTAAGGGACAAAGCTCTGACTCTGAAGGTAAAAAACTTGCATATGCAATCTAATGTTGCTAATGGTTTTTATTAGAATCTATTCTTATTCTCATATTCAAACATTCAATTCCTATATTCAATAATTTCTTCATTCATTCAACAAATAAATACTTACTGAGTACTTTCTATATGACCCTATTCTATGTGAAGAAATAATACAAAATCCTTGTTCTCATAAGGTTTACATTCCAACAGGAGGGAGACACACAAAATAAAAATGACATAAAATATGTTAAAGGAGTATGGTATGCTAGGGATAAAGAGAAAACAGGAATTGGAAATAGAAAGTATGCAATTGGATGTGATTTAAAAGATGGTTTTCAGGAAAACCTGAAAAAATGACATTTGAGCAGAGACCTGGGGGAAGTAAGGGACTAAGTCATTTGTGTATCTAGGAGAAGGCTATTTTGGGTTGTGTGGTGGTGGTTATATGCCATAGAGTCAGTTCCCACTTATAGTGATCTTATATAGTGTTTCTGAAGGAGCTCTGGTAGTATAGTGGTACGAGTCGGGCTGCTAACCTCAAGGTCAGCAGTTCGAAACTACCAGTAGTTCCGTGGGAGAGAGACTTTCTACTCCTGTAAAGATTTACAGCCTTGAAAACTCTATACAGGGTTGCTATGAATCAGAACTGCCTCCACAGTACATAACCACCAACAACTATAGTACTCCAAGAGTAGGATATTGTTGTTAAGTGTTGGATCAGTTCTGACTCATAGTGACTCTGCATAGTGTCTCCAAGGAACAGCTGATGAGTTTGAACCACTGACCTCTCCATTAGTAGTCCAGTGCTTACCCTACAGTGCCACAATCCCACCACGACCCTTGGGAGATTCCCAAGGGTCTGGCATACAGTACTTTTTATCTTACAAGAGATAAAAGGAGAGAGACTTGAGGAGAAAAAGAGGGACCCATTAGCACAAGAAAGGAGACTCTGTAGTGCAGTGTGTCCTTTGGACCTTGAGTTCCTGTACTATAAAGCTGCTGGACTAGAGGAAGATTCATGTCAAGACACATGGAGATCTCCAAGGAATGCTGGGCCTACAGATGCTGAAAGTAGACAAGAATGTTTCCCCAGAACCAGTACTCTGAATTTGGACTTCTATCTTTCAAAACTGTGAGAGAATGCATTTTTGTTTGCTAAAGCCATCCATTTGTGGTATTTTTGTTACAACGACACTAGAGAACTAAGATACATGACCAAGGAGAAATGTTACGTAGGTAGGTAGTTGGACAGAAGTAGGAAAGTTGGAGGAAATCTCTATGAAAAATTTTCAAGGTCTTAAAATTGGATTGGACTCATCTAGGAAGGAAGTATAAATAAAGGAAGAAGTTTAAAAAGAAATATGAAGCCCTTCAACTTTTTAACATTTTGGAGATGATGATGAAAAAGCAAAGGAGATTTTTAAAAATTCTCTGAAAATAATAAGGAAAATATGTGGGTTTGTGTACTGTATTTCTATCTTTATATTTATGTATACATATTATCCCCTCTTCTAGGAAAACTGAATTAAGGAGCAGAATTCAGTTTCTGAGAAATGATAACATCGAGTTTTATAAGGACATATGCCAAAAAAAACAATTAGTAAGGGGCACTAACAAGGAAATGGCATCTCTTCTCAGTTTTTCTTGGAATGACTTCATTTTTCTTAAATGACTTTAAAATTTAGAGTGAATAAATAAAGGGTGAGATTTAGAGTGAAGAAGTAGAGAGTATGATAATGGAGAAAGATGTCAACATGTGTAGACAGAGAGATATAGATAAGCTTCTAAAGGTTAGTCTTCGGGTGACTACTAATATAATACACTCTTTGAAACAGTCTTTATAACCATGCAAACAAATAGAGGATAGAACATACCAATACATCTACACTGAAACAGCCATGGCCACTTTTGTGGTGCTCTTTTTCTAGTTTTGTTTTTTTTTTTTCCACACACACATATTGACAAAATAAGGAATATATTACATAATTATTATTCTAGTGTGCCTTTTGATTTGATATAATGGCATGAACAGTTTTGGAAGATGCATTTTTCATTATATTTTGATGAGAGAAGAGAGATGATCAAGAGAAGACTGTTCGTTTGAGAAATGTCTGGTCCAATATCTATCAAAAAAGTTGCATGATGACTGTGTGTATACATGAAAGAGACAGAGAATAGGATGAGTCTGGATACTCAGTGTCTTGGTGACTGATATGATAGCTGTGCTACTCCATGGGGACCAAGAAAACAAGAATGACTAAAGCTTTGCTTATTTTTTATGTCAGGGTGGATTCCAGTCTCTTTCTTTCTATATAGCTAGAGAATTGTTGCTATCTATTGTTGTTATTTACAGCCTCGGAAACCCTGTACAGAATCGCTGTGAGTTGGAACAGACTCCACGGCACATAACCACCACCACCACCATTGTTGTTGTTACTAGATGCAACAGAAACGGAGAGAAGTGTTCTAGAATTGTTTCAGTTAATGTCTACCAACGTAAACAGAACACTAAATTAATGTATGAGGCAAGTAGGTTGTTTTGACTAAATTACTTGACAGTTTTCTCCACAATTTACAAAGACAAAATTTGCCACATCTTCCTTATATTTTTCATGTTGTGAGCATGCATCTTAGAGACATATAACATGAAAACATTTTCATGAGTCTATGAAAATCCAGTTTAGCTTATCAGTAAAGTTTTGTGAGTATGACCACAGCAAACTAATTTCTCCTGTTGACAACTTTTATGGTATGAATTGCCTCTAAGATTTGCTTGAAGTAATTAGATTCAGAAGGCATTTATAAAACCAGAGATAGTGAAACTTATTTTAAAATAATTATCAGATTAATGAATTCCATAGACTATTTAGTACTGAACTTCTGACAGTGAATAAAATGTGTATGTACTTCTGTTTGTGTACTGCAAGTTCCTGATCTCTCTTTCTCTCTCTATTCTTGAATGAAGAATTCAGTTATCCAGAACATGGGATTTTACAAGGTCAAGGTCACACATTTTATTGGCCACATAGAAGCACAAAATTCTGTCATGGTTCTCAATTGCACCAGGAGCTCCAGTCATTTCATGGACTGTGCTCTCGGTCACATAAAGACCAGTTAAGAAAGTTCCAGTGGTTCAGTAATATCACTAAACTATTAAGAAAAAAGACACACAACTTAAAGCACAGATGCTAACCACTATAGGACAATGAAATTTCTACTGTGTATGTGAGTGGCAGTATATATATAGCTCAGTCAGAGAAGAGCAAAACACCACTGTCTTAAGTTCAGTATTTACCTGAAAACAAACATACTATACTTAGCTTTCACTTTAATTCATAGGTAATATTGTGTTAATACAGAAGTTTTAGAAGTGTTTGGAGATATTATATTCTTTTAAATACATGTTAAATCTGTCTTAGTCATTTGTTACAATGCATCAGAATCTAGAGTTTTTACATTTATAAAGTAACACCTCTACATCTTGGAGTTATGAAGTAGATCTGGGAAAACAACACAACATCACTGAGAAACTCACTCATTTGCTACATTTCTGTCACTTCACATTGAGGGTCATATGCAATGACAAATACTGAAACTTGCACCATAGATCAAGTTGAGAACAACTGGCTTCTGATGACAACATTTTTACTTTAAATGCCTGAGCCTGTCATTTCCTTTTCAGATTGAATGCTATGGATTCCACAATAAAGTACAAAGCTATTTAAGTTCCTTTGCAAAACCATTCATTATCCACTGGACTTGGGAACTCCAACAGTCCCTCTCATCTCTTAAAGAGAATGGTGCTTTTTTTGCTGTTCATTAAAGAAAAGAACAAAGGCAAAATGTCAAGTCCATAACACCCTCTAATGAATCACCATTTCCATCCCCAGCCTGGGCAGTTGTTTAAAAGCAAGAACAGAAACAGAGAGAAATTCCCTTCTTTTAGTTTAAAACTCTTGAAATGCTTAGCAAAACCTTTAATACAATGGATCAGTCTTTCCATATGTAAAATGGATGGAGGCATCCAATTTTTTTTTTTTTTTAATAGCAAATTGAATTTGAAATAGTTTGTATCAGGGAAATCATTCATTACCCTCCAAGTTTCCCCTTTGAAAATTAGACTCAGGCTATCAAAGCACACTGACCATTGGAATATTTATCTAACAGGTTTCAAATCTTAAGAATTGCTTCCTCTTCTTTATTTTTCTTGGACCTTATACCTCCCACCCACCGAAGTCCTCACTCAGCCCGACCAACAGCCCAGTTGGCACCACAGATAGAAGTCAACTGTTTTCTACATGACCTCTAAGCATTCTACTCCACTAGACAAGCGATGTGGAATGCACACTCAGCAGGCTTTCAGCCAGAACCAGTTTGCCCTCGAGGCATTTCTACCATAAAGCATTATACTATCCACTATGTTTTGCTCTAAGCAGATCAGTCACCCACTCCCCTTTTTCTTCTCGCCTTCCTGCTTCTCACTCCGCACCTGGTTGCAATTCCAGACCCACAGGGCACAGAGCAAACAAAAACCCGCACGAAACAGCAACAGATTCCTTTGTTTTACATGCAAATCCTACCTCCGGTAGTTGTCACATCTTCCTCAAAAGCCACGCTTAATTTTTAATGACAGAGATCCAGTGCAGTCCTCCAAGTAGCAGCCGGTAAGCATCGTTACCTCTCGTGCCTAAAGCCTTTCTGAACCATTAAAGTCACAACCCTTGCAAACTCATAGCTTTAATACTCCCTGCTCAAAATGTCTGAAAGAGTTTGGAAGGACAATAGGAGTGACAGGCACGCTAGACAGCCATGCTTGAAATTAGTTAACGGGAGCTCCGTTAAAGCAGCTTCATTCTGTTTTCAAAGCGTGCAGAAGGTAGGATTTATCAGCCTATGATAGGCATGCTGTTTCTGTTTTTATTAAAAACTGTAATAGGCTGTCTGTTACCAATGCTGTGATAGGTTCAACATCTCTTCCCTCTGCTTTCGAATTCTCATTTTAAAAATCGGAGAAAGGGCTCAGACTTCCTTAACAAGACAGACACCATCCAGCCTGGTAGGTCAGATTTCCAAATGCTCTTTGCCTACCAGAGAAAGAACTCCTTTTGCATATAGGTATTTCTGCATGAAGAGTGAAGTTGGGAGCAAACACTCTAGGATTCCCCAAACAATTCTCTCATTGCTGTCAAGGGACTTTTGTTCTTTCTAGTTAGAAAAATAACTGCTCTCTGGAGTTAGGTCAGAGAACCAGCCCAAACAGGAAGCCTTTCCACTGTCTCCTAAAATAGTAGTTACATTTGCTGTTGTTATGGTTAAGTGCTTTACAGTCAGTGATGTTGTTGTTGTTGTTAAGTGTCCTGGAGTCAGTTCCAACACATACCTACTGACCCTGTATAGATTCTGAGTTATAGTGACCCAAGGAGCAGCTGGTGGGTTTGAACAACCGACCTTGTGGTTGGCAGTTCAGTGCTTATCCTACAGAGCCTCACCAGAACTCTGTAGAGTCTATGTTGTTGTTGTTAAATGCTGTCGAGTTGGTTCAGACCCGACCCAAAACGACCCCGTATAGGGTTTCCAAGGAATAGCTGATGGGCTTGAATCGCTGACCTTGAGATTCAAACCGACTTTGCAGTCCAGCGCATTAACTCACTGAGCCATACCAGGACTCTGTAGAGTCTACTGTTGCTGTTGTTAAGTGGTGTCGAGTCGGTTCTGACCCATAGCGACCCTGTATATGAGGAGCAGCTGGTGAGCTTGAACCGCTGACCTTGCAGTTCAACAGGCTTTGCAGCCTGACACATTAATCCACAGTGCCACACCAGGACTCCTGTAGAGTCTATGTTGTTGTTGTTATGTGCCATCAAGTCGTTTCCGACCCATAGTGACCCTGTATAGGGTTTCCGAGGGTGTAAATCTTTACGGGAGTAGAAAGCCTCATCTTTCTCCCGCGGTGCAGCTGGTAGTTTCGAACCGCTGACCTTAAGAGTCTATAGCACCTACAAATTTTCAAATTAAATTGCTGAATTATTTGCTAAGTAGACCGGATGGATAAATGGTTACAATAAGTAATTTATTGCATAATAATTTACTGTTTTGTGTAAGCAGTCCTATACCATACACTCATTGTCAAAATGGAAAGAAAGAATGGTAGGTGGGAGGGATGGGGATGTGTACCTTGATCCTCTTTTAACAGTCATGATCAGGGAAGATGGGAGAGGGCTTTCTTACCAAGATTCAGAGATGAGGGTATTACTTGATGCTGTTCTGAAAAGTTGTAAGTATCCTTCCAAATAGGGAAGTAAAGCCAACAAAACAAAAATAGTTCTTGGTAGCTCACACCAACATGGAAAGTGCTTTATGTTCCAGCTACTCAGATTTATTTTGATAATTAGTTTTATTTTTATAATGAATGATACTTAGTTCTTTGTGCCTTTCCTTTGCTCTGCCCCCCCCCCCCACTTGTACCCACAAAAGAAACAGTTGTATAGTAGTTACTATGGAAACTAACAGGCAAAGGAGGAGCTTCAGAAGGGCAGTAGATGTAATATAGATGGAAATGTATACTGGCTTCAAGCACTGAAAGATTAAAAAAAAAAAAGAATGACTGCAAAGCAAACCATTAAGTATAGAAATGATTATAAATCACCACTATCTTATTACTGGTAGTTTAGTTACTTAGAAATGCTGTAATGATCAAGCATTCTTTGCTTTTCTATATGCAAGAACTAAATATCTGAATTGTTCAGGTCTGATCAAAGACTTTTTTGTTTTGTTTTGTTTTCCTTCTGTTTTAAACTTCTTGTTGATAGTTTGAATATGCCCCAGATTGCATGAGCATGTTAGGTGTTACTTGGATGGTCACAATTTCTTCTTAGAAATAAAATGTGATTTAATGGAAAAAAACTTCATGTATTACAAACCATAACCATATTTCACTCTGAAAATGGTTTCTCTAGTACAAAATCAAAATCAGGAAATACTGTAATTTGAATTTCAAAAAATTATCCCTTCCTAGTTAAGGTGGTAGGACAAAATAAAATAGCATCATTATCCAAATTTTCATTTTTTTAAATGAAAAAAAAAAAAAAAGCACCTCACAATTTTTATGCCACGTGTATGTTCATGACCTTTCAGTAGTCCCATGACCAACCAAAAGTAAGTATTTCTTGCCAGAGTAATTAAATTTTCACAGTTATAATGAGGCTGGGGAATACAAAATTATTGTCTTTAATACTTCAGTTTCACAGTTTGTATTTGAAATAATTGGCACCACTAAAATGTGAGCACAAAAATTCTAAAGTTCATCCTGAGATTGTTAGGTGACAATTCTTCAGAATTTATGGAAATCCAGTTTTATATAGGTAAGTTTACTATTCAAAAATTATAATGAAGGAAGGATTATTTCAGGGGAAAAGAATTTATGAATAATTTCTTTTTAAAATGGTATTGTTTTTGGTAAGTGCCCTCGAGTTGATTCAGACCCACAGCGACCATGTATAGGGTTTCAAGGAGCAGCTGGTGAGCTTGAATCACCGACCCTGCAGTTCAAATGACTTTGCAGTCTGACGCATTAACCCACAGCACCACACTAGGACTCTTTTTTAAATGATGGGAGAGTAATAATATATAAAAATTATATCTCAGATTTTTACAATACAAAAAAGTCTTTAAATGATACCCTAATTGGGTTAATGCTCCAGACTGAAAAGCTGTTTGAATTGCAAGGTTGGTGGTTCAAGCTCACTAGCTGCTCCTCAGAAACCCCATACATGGTGGCTATGGGTCGGAAACTGAATTGATGGCACTTTAACAACAATGACAACAAAGCATTATTGGGAGTCCTGGTGTGGCACTGTAGGAGAGGCATTGGACCTCAAGGTCAGTTTGAAACACAAAGATCAGTGATTCAAACTTAACCAGCTGCTCCTGGGAAGCCCTATGCAGTCTCACCGTGAGTTGGAATATAAAAGATACAAACACAAATGGGGGCGGTGGGGGTGGGGGAGCTGAGAGGGTCGGGGATAAAGAGACACAGAGAAAAACATTCAGGAAACACTCTTAGCAAATACTTCCCTCCAATTAATTCTAGGTGTTAATTCAGGAAGCACTAACTGATGAAGTAAGAGATAAATGGATATGATTTTTCTTTTGTGATGGGACAATAGGGTGGCCCTTCTGCAGGGTTGTTAGTGATACTTTAGGGAGTGTCTGTCCCTGGAGGAGCAAAGGAACTGGGTCATTGGGACGTTTCTGAGGATGCAGGAGGGTGTTGGAAGGGGTAGTGTACAGGTGGACATGATAATGGAAAACAGTGTGCTGTGGTAATGAAGGAGAAGCAGGAAAAGAGGAAGGGATGTAGAAGAGGAAAAGAGAAAAGATTTACACGTAAAGAAAGAGTTTCTTGAGGGAACATACATAGTGATTTTGAAACTTATTTCTGTTAAAGACTCCTGTGAAATGAAATTATATGAATGCTTGTTACAAGATTGTAGTGAGGTGAGTCAAGGTACATAACAAGGTCTGAGTAAATCTCTTTGTAAACAGAGACTAAAACAAATTCACTGCCATTGAGTTGATTCCAACTCATAGAACCTGCATAAGGTTTCTGAAACTATTAAATCTTTATGGGACCAGAAAGTCTCACAGAGTAGCTGATAGATTTGAACTGCCAGCTATCAGTTAGCAGTCCAGTTGCTTATCCTACAGATCTAACAAAAATATTACTTTTTATTCAACAGAAAGAAAGAGGGCGATGAGTGATAAGAGAGGAGGAAAGTGGTTTCAAAAAAGAATAGAGGAGGGAAAAAATACCCACTGCCCATTGAGTCAATTCTGACTCTTAATGACCTTGAAAGGACAGTTTTGTTGTTAAGTGCCTTCTGTCAGTTCTGACTCATAGTGACCCTGGATAGGGTTTCCAAGGAGTCACTCCTGGGTTTGAACCACTGACCTTATGGCTCAAGTGACCTTGCAGTACAGTGCATTATCCTGCAGCACCACACCAGGACTCCAAGGCCAGTTTAGAATTGCTCAATAGAGTTTCCAAGGCTGTAAATCTTTACAGAAGCAGTATGCTTGTGGGTTTGAACCTCCAATCTTTAGCTATCAGTATGACATTTAACCTACTGTGTCACCAGTGATCCTTGGAAGAAAAGAAAGAGAGCAGGGAGGTGGAAGAAAGGGAGAAGAATTTCTTCTGAGGAATTACACAAGATAGAATTTCTTTCTTGTTTTTGTTTTGCTTTCTTGAACACATTTCAGTGTTGTTGTTAAGTGCCATCAAGCTGGTTCCAACTCATAGCGACCCAGCATAGGGTTTCCAAGGAGTGTCTGGTGAGTTGGAACCCCAAATCTTGTGGTTCAGACCAACCTTGTGGTCCTGCACTTTTCCTACAACACCACACCAGGAGTTCTGCCCTTATAATGAAGTTTCAGGTAATAAAATATCTTTGGATCTTATACCTTCTTCAATAAGAGAAAAAACTATGCTGTATTTGTTTTATAAGCTGTTCAACCATTTTGTAAACAGCTGATCTGAGGATTGAATTTAGTAACTCTTAGCATTGCTTTTTTGGATGGTTCCCTTGAGAATGAGGTTTGGGACAGCAGAAGGCAGGAACTGAAGTGATATTTCAGAGCTATATTACCAAATTCACTCAGCAAGTGTACTCTGTGCATCTGTAACTTGATAACATTTTCAACAGCATCTGCTCTCTGATTGCACATAAGAAAGCTTGTTCTAGGAAGAACAAGTATGTTAACAAATATTAGGTTGCGAACTAGAGTCTAGGCAAAAGTGATGTGATCACATATGCAGAGAATTTGCTGTTTTCATGCACAGCCTGCAAGTTAAATGGTTTAATGAATGGAACGATGAATGTGTAATTTCATTATGAGTCATCACTATTAAAATGAAAATTTGATAGATACATACCCAGAAAGTGTAGCTATCTGTTACAGATATAAGTGCTAATTATATTTTGGAGCATATAAT